CGGCGGGAAGGGCCCCGGGGCCAGACGCGCCCATCCATCCAGGAGCTCCTTAGCCAGCGCCCCTCTGCGCCCGGCAGGGCTTCAGCGCAGGGCACGCTTGAGCTCAACTAGTGCCCCCGCAGCGCTGCGAGCAGGTACCATGGCCATTCTTAAATTACAGGCGAGGAAACTGAGGCACGGCGGGAGGGGTGAGGTCGCCTGTCCACGGGGAGCTGTCCTGGGGGTGTTAGAGTAACACCAGGCCGCCAGCCAGCTGCTTCCCCACTAGGACCCAGCGCGCCCACCAGCGTCCGCACCCCGTGGCCCCAGGCCACCCACCAGTGTGGTTGGTCCCAGCACAGACAGAGCCCCGCGGCCCTTCCCTGGAGTGTCCCTCCCGTGGGGTCAGGAGGCATTGCCGCCTGGGTGGTGCCGCCCCTTTGAGACCCACCCAGAGGATGGGAGCCCAGAATTCCCAGCCAAAGTGTTCTGAGCCCACCTCTCGGCTGGGCCGCCTCTCCCCCAGGGGTCCCTCAGGTGTGGGCGGCAGAGGGGGGTGAGCCTAGCAGGGGCCGCCCTGCCCAAGATGCACAGATGCACTTGGCAGGTAGGAAGCAGAAGCCCGGGGGTCCCGCTGAAGGTCCTTTATGTTGGTTGACAGCTTGTTAAGCACGTGGGCATGTGCGCGCGCTGAGAACACTCAGGGGCCCCGGTGGGTCCCCAGCTGGCACAGGGCTCGTGCCCGTGTGCCACCAGCTGTCTCCACATCGTGATTCAGGGAACACCGAGGGGCCTACTCGGGCGTGGGTCCTGTCCAGGGAGATGAGAGTTCGGCGGTGAACAAATCGCAGGTGCCCCTTCCCCCAGGAGTCCCCCTGGGGACACACCTGTGGGAAGAGCCAGGAGTGTGGGGTGGCATGCTCCAGGTGGTGGGGCCACCTGGGGGCTCTCAGGGCTCCCTCCTTGGCTCCTGTCTCCCTGCATGGACCCCACAGCTTTGAGGTGCCTGCCTCCTCCCCACCTCTGGTCCCCAGAGAGAGGGGACAGATGTTAGAGGGTAAATGAACCGGAGAGAATATGAGAGAGTGAGAGGGAGGGAGGAGAGGGAGGGAAGATGTCACACGAGGGCTGCCAGGTTTCCATAAGCAACGTGAGTCAGAAGAAAAGGCCAAAGGTTTGTGGTAAGCGACTGTGAGACAGTCATGGCGTGGGGGTGGCCCATGGTGCCCACACAATGGGGTACACAGGTGACATCTTAGAGAACTGCGCCTGAAACTTACCCTCTTATTAACCAATGTCACCTGGAAAACTTAATTTAAATAAATGGAAGAGACAGAGGCTCAGAGGAGGCCACATGAGGACAGAGACAGAGCTGGGAGGGGGGAGGCCACAGAGGGTCGGCAGCCCCAGAGCCGGGAGGGGCCTGGCACAGGCTACCCCTGAGCCTCCAGAAGGAGCCAGCACCGTGACATCTTGATCTCAGGCTTCCTGCCCCAGAACTAGGAGAGATAACCCACTTTAATAACCCGTAACTAGATAGAGCAGCCCCAGGAAACTCACACGCAATCCACCTTTGGAACATCACATGGTCCCCCGCGCTGTCTTGACTCTCCCCCCCAGACTGTTCTGGGGCCCCCACCCACCAGAGAGCCCAGGGTGCACGCCCCTCTCCCGGGCCTGGCCTCCAGGGAAGCCCTAGAGGGAAATGTTCACTAGAAAAGGGGAAATGACATTATTTCATTTAAAGAGGAAGCTGAGGCTGACATGGATTCATTGCATTTTTATCTCAAAGGAATTTTCCAAATGTGTCTTCTCAATGCCTCCCACGGTGAAGACTGACAGTCAGGGCTGCCTTACAGAAACGAAAGCTAATCGAGCACACCGTCCACGCAGTTTCCCAGGAAACAAACGCCCCAGACGTGCAGGGAGCCTGGGCCCGGCCCCGGCTGCTGGGAGGTGCCTGAGGTGGAGGTAGTGGGTCAGACTCCTACACTGACCAGGTGAGGTAGGTGTCACTGGCCGTGTTGCAGATGGGGAAACTGAGGCAGTGGTGTGGCTTGTCAGGGGCAGAGCCTGGGTCAGACACTGAGCTGTGTGGTTTCCAGGGAGCCCACTTTCTTTCGACCACCCGCCACCCCTGTCCTGCGCTCCGTCTGTGCCTGGTGAGGGGCCGGAGGCCGAGGGGCCATCACCTGCCTGCTCCTGATCTGGCCTGTCCCAGCCCTCGGCCGGCTTCTCTCCTGACCATGAACCCAGGAAGCCTGGAAGTGAAGGAATTCCAGCCATCTCTGAGCCTTGCTGGCAGTGCTCACCATTCCCGGAGTCCACTGGCATTTCCAGCCGACATGAGCACCTGGGGCTACCTGCAGATGACATGTGGCACCCGCCCCCCAACTCCCCTGAGGGGGTGGTACATGCAGCCTCCCCCATTAGACCTGCTCGGCACAGAGCCCACCCCAACCGAGGGCCACTGGGGCTGGGCTCCTGCCCTACCCCCCAGGTCCTAGGCACCATGAGAAGGTGCTCTGTGCACATGGCCCACAGTGAACTGTCATGGTCATCCAAGCAACGCCCACAGAAAAGCCCAGAAATAAAGTCATCACTGTGGATGCCCACTGGGCACCTCCGCCGTGCCCAGCATGTGCCAGCTGCCAGCAGCACCAGGCAGGCACGTGGCCTCTGCCAGCAGCCCTGCTGTTTGCTAATAGCCCAGCGAGCGAGAGCAAGCCGTGGACGGAGAGGCCCTCCTGCCTGCCACGTGCTGCCTGGGCGCCTGCCCTGGGTACAGTTGCCCTCACCTTGGGCCCTGTGGGGCCCAGTGGGAGAGCCTTGGGGGCTGGGTCCTGAGGGGAAGAGGCTCACAGAGGGCATGGCTCCAGGAATAAGAAATTGGTGGCATGACTTCCAGAGGGGCTTCATGAAGTGGACACTGGCTGGTGGGTTCTGTGGACAAGGAAGCCACCCAGCTGGCGCTGGACTCCCAGGCCAGCCGGCCTACCCCTGTAGGACACTGGGCTCAGCAGGACTCCTTCCTCAGCCTCTCCAGGGCACCCAGAGGGACCCACGTGGCCCGCTGTGACCCGGGGGGCTGGAAAGGCCTGGGGAACATGCCACTGTTGGGGAGCGACACGGGCGACCGCCTCTCCTCCGAGTCCTTCGAACACGTGAGTTTGGTGACCTCTATCTTGGTGGACCACTTTTTCCACTTCCTGTGGGTTCTGGACACTTCTTGCCATGAATGGTTCATGGCCAGCAAGTAGATGATGGGGTCAGCCACGCTGTTCACCGTGGACAGGCACAGGAATACCATGGAGGCCGTGTAGAGCCTGACCTCCAAGGCGCACACGGAGCCCGGGTTGCCGCCGTAGTAGGAGAAGGCCACGGCTTTCATGAGCAGCACCAGGTGGTAGGGGGCAAAGCAGGCCAGGAAAATGACCACGACCGCGGTGGCCGTGTGCCTCACCTTGGCCTTCTGCACGGCGCTCAGGCCCTCGCTCCGCTTGATGCTCCTGAAGATGCGGTGGTTCGTGAAGGCGATGACACACAGCGGGAGCACGAAGCCCACGGCGAACCGCGAGTAGTAGTAGTAGGCGGTCCTGCTGTCCATGGGCACCGTCTCGAAGCACCGCCCTCTCTCCTCCGTCTGGAACACCGGGTAGTGAACCAGCCCCACCAGGAGGAACACGGCCGCCGAGATGAGGACGGCGGTCCTCCGGCGCCGGCGGCCGCGGCTCTCCAGCGCGTACACCACGGCCACGAAGCGGTCGCAGGAGATGCAGCACAGGAACAGGATGCTGACATACAGGTTGCAGAAGAAGATGTAGGCGGTCACCCTACAGGCCCACAGCCCCAGGGTCCAGCTGTGCTGGTTCTGGACGTAGATGACCCACAGCGGCAGGGTGCTGGCGTAGAGCAGCTCGCACACGGCCAGGCCGAACAGGTAGACGGCCAGCACGCTGCCCTGGAGCGCCTGCAGCAGCGTCAGCCAGGCCGTCAGGCAGTTGGCCGGCAGCCCCAGCGCGCACACGGCGCTGTAGGTCACCACCAGGAACAGCCGGCTCTCCTGGAAGGGCACCGTGCAGTTGTCCTGGCGGGCCTCCTGCGGGGGGCTTCCTGTGGGAGAGACAGCGTGGGGACGGGCCATAGAGCCTCTCCAGAGACGCTAAGGAACGTCACGGTCTGTGGTGACTCCGGACTAGACGCACCAGGGCCTAATCATCTCCGAACGGGGTTCTCCACGCGACCCCGAGACCCTCGGTCTGCGGCCCGGTGGCACTGTGGTCGGAGACCTGGGGCCGCGCCACGTAAGGCCACTGGCCCACCCAGGTCGCTTTCCTAAAGGGTGGTTTGTATGGAAGAGAAAGTGATTCTCTCCCTGCCCACCGAGCCCTCTGCTGAGCACAGTCTCCGCGGAGTCTAAGGGTAGGAGGGGGGGACACCTGTCTCTGCCTGAGCTGTCCCCGCCCGCCAGGCTCTCCCAACCCACACCCACCCTGCTGTGCAAAGCCTCCTTGGAGCCTGCCCTCCCCCACCCTGACACCCCCAAAACAGCCCTGTCTCCATCCCAGCACTGGGTCTGCTCCAAGAAATGGGCACAATGTGAGGCCCAGACAGACATCCAAACCTCTGACTGATCCCCTAGCCCTGGGCCTGATTTTTCTTCAAAAGGACAGGAAATGGGAGCTTTCTAAATGTTTTTTTTTTTTTTTTTAATTTATTGATTTCAGAGAGAGGAAAGGAGAGGAAGAGAGAGATGGAAACATCAATGATGAGAGAGTCATTGATCGGCTGCCTCCTGCACGCCCCTTGCTGGGGATCAAGGAGCCCACAACCCGGGCATGTGCCCCGATTGGGAATCGAACCCCGATCCCCTGGGTCCTAGGTCGATGCTCAACCGCTGAGCCACACCAGCTGGGCACCTTTCTGAACGTCTCGATGGAGAGCCTCTAGCTTTGTCATTTCTGAGTTAGTTTGAATCTCTTTTGCATGCTCTATTTTTTTTTAAATCCTTACCCAAGGATACATTTTCATTGATTTTTAGAGAGAGAAGAAGGGAGATAGAGAAACATTGATCAGTCGCCTCCTGCACATGCCCCAACTGGGGATTGAGCCTGCAACCGAGGTACGTGTCCTTGGCCAGAATCAAACCCAGGACCCTTCAGTCTGCAGGCCGATGCTCTAACCACTGAGCAACCCAGCCTGCATGCTCATTTTAAAAATAATTATCACTGTTGTGAGACAAAGTGCATTGTGGTGAAATTCTTACGGGCTCCCTCCTGAATGTTTAAGGTCAGAGGAGTCATGGGGGCTCTCACCTGGCATGTTTGCCAGTTCCAGTGTCAGGGCGGCTCTACGACAGCTTTCCAGTGCACATCATGTCTTAGCGGTCCTGTTGCAAAGGTCACTCAGGGTTTAAAATGACCTGGAGGAAAAGTAGGTTGAAATCGCTTTAGGCAAATCAGATTAAATCATAAGTGAAGTCATTTGACAAGTGGTTATCGGGCAGTTATTATGAACCAAGTCCTGTATTTATTCTGTGAATTCAACAGTGTCCTTAATATATAAAGAGCTCCTACAAATCAACAAGAAGTGTCAAAGCAATAAGCAGATCATTCACAGAAGAAACAAATGTAGCTCCTAAAAATAAAATTTTTTAAAAAGCTCAACTCACAATGAAGGAAATGCGAACAAAATTGTCAAATGGTAGTCTCTTTTTTTTGCCTCTGAGGTTGGCAAAAAGAAAGAACTTTAATTTCTGGTGCTGGCAAGAGCATGAGGAAGTGACGCCTTTCACTGTGCTGACGGCAACGTGAACTGGCACGGGATGGTGCCTGCTTCCAAAAATCTTCAATTACCCAAGATGCACAGCACATGTCACCTGAAAGAATGTCCCAGTGAAAGAGCCCAGGCCCCCAGGAGAGCACCCACGACCCCTCAGCCTTCCCCAGGCTTCCTTCTCTCACCACAGGTGCCCTAAGACAGGCTCCATCCTGATCAGCCAGCGAGGGGCTGTGGGGAGGGGAGACTCTACCACATCCTCAGATGGTATAAAAGATGAGCCCCAGCTCCGAGGAGCCACTGTGTCCTGCTCTGCTCAGAGGCAGACCCACACGTTTTGGAGCCACCGAGGCTGGGCCGGGAGGGTCGACCGCTGGCTCTCAACCCAATCCCGCTGCCTGGTGCCGGCCCCGCCACAGGGCCCACTGGCCACACTCCCTACCCATTGGCCTCCCAGCCCTCCTTCTGCAAGCATATTCCACCAGCTGGAAGCAGCAGGAAGCCGAGATATTTACCTGAAACTACAGAAAGTTCCCTGAGTTAGACATTCTAAGTAAGACCCAAAATGCATGCAGAGGTGAGACTCCATCCCCAAGTGACAGTCACCTTTTCAGACTGACGTTCCCCCCATGGGCCCGGAGGGTCCTAGGTCCTTGCCGGCCCTGTACCCCACCCCACCCCATGTCTCAGGTCAGACCCCTGCCAGCTGCAGGTTGGGGGCATGGGCCACCCTGGGTGCTGTGGCTGAGGGCCACCTGCCAGGCTCTGTCCTCTAAGGAGATGTTGGTCTGAGGCCCAGTGGGACCCACAGCCTAGGGAGAGATGCAGCCTCCTAAAAATAGAGACTCAGCAGGCTCTAGGGTGAGGGAGACAGAGTGGCCTCGCGGGCTAGGGCCCCCAGGGGAGGAGCTGCTCACCTCAAAGCTGTCCAGACAGTCTGGACCCCGAAGCATGGGGGCACCGCCAGCCTACCCCCCTCCCTCTGCTGATTTCCTTGCTCAGGAGGAGTTGCTGGGGAAGGGCTCCAGGAGGGAAGGGGCTCCTGGAAGGTGCCTGCTGCCTTCACTAGAATTCCAGAGCCTTCTGAAGGCTGGAGGGTGAGCCCTGTCCTCTGGGGAGCCCTGTCCCCAGGCTGCCTCTCCTTGAAGCAGATAGGAGCAGGGGTCGGGGCGGGGGTGTCTAGTAACCACTTCTGCAAAAGCCAGAGGAAGTGGTAGCCCAACTGAAATGCTCCCTCCCCTACAAGCCTCTCACAGCACAGCCCCTCCCATTGGAGGCCACAGGCCGCTCACATGGCCTGTGCAGTGCCAGGTGCTGATGTCCAGACCCAGGGCCTTGTCCCTGACCATCAGGCCCGGACAGTGGCTGGACATGTGGAGATCAGGAAGAGATCCCACGGAGAGAACCAGCCCTCCCAGTGGAAGACTGAGTAGGTGTGAGGCCCTGGCCCCTTCCGGGCTCGCTGACCTTGGGATCCAGGGGGAGACCCTCGGGGAGCATGGAGCAGCCGGGTGCCAGTGCAGCCTGAGGGTGGACCCCAGGCCCCGGGACCCTGACACCAGCACTCAGCTCCTGTCCCTCACCATGGTGGTGGCCTGGGACACTTGTCCACTGCCCACTCCCTGGCCCACACCCCTCAGAGCTTGTCCTGTACTTGGACAAATGGTTTCAGTTCTCTTCCCAGGAACTTCCTGGGCCTGGTGACCTGTTCCTGGCACCTCCTGCTCCCACTTTCACCTCCTCTACTTTCTGTTTCCTCTCAAGTCCATGCTCCTCGAGGGTCTCCCCCTGCACCCCAAGGTGAGCAAGCCCGGGAGGGTCCAGGGCCTCACACCTGCCCAGCCTCAGTGGGTCCTTCCCTCTCCTGAGCTAGCAGCTGGGACACCAGGCGGCAGCCAGGGTGACAGTGAACCCTCCACCCCACCAGCCCCAGAGAGCCTGTGGCCGGTCCTGGCATGTGGCCGGGGCTCTGTGGGGAGTGGGCCGCCCACCTCGGGCACAGGCTCCCCCCGGGCCAGGTTCCTCTCCTGGCCTCTCTGGTTGAATGTTTAGTGGGAGGACAAGGCCGGGCAGGAGTGGCCCTGGGTTCTCCCACACAGGTACCCTGCCCTTTCCTAAGGTCATCCCAGGTCCTGCCCACCTTTGGGATCCCACTGAGGCGGGTCTTGGCTATAGAGTGCCAGACCCCCGTGGGATGGCCCTGATTCGGCCGGCGGCGGCTCCCAGCCCTGGGCCTGGGGAAGGGACGTGCCAGCCTGCGCATGCGGGCGGGGATCTGACAGTGTGCAGGGTGGGCTGGTGGGCTGGAGGCCCCTTCACACCTGCCCCCCCGCCCCCCTAGCCCAGGTACCTCCTGAGCCTCCGCATCCCCCAAAGCCCACAAGCTTCACCTCCTCCCAGCCCCACCACCTCCGCAAGGCTGCCCCTCCTGGTGGCCCCGTTGCTCCCCCCGCCCCCCAGCACGTTCACCTGCGGCCGCTTGGCCAGGTGCTGAGCCCAGCGATAGGCATTTTCCAGACGAGAGCAGCGCGCGTCCTCGGAGGCCTCAAGTGGCAGGTACGGAGCTGCCTCGCCCGCCTGCCCCGCAGCACGTCCCTCAGTCTTTTAAACCACGTGCTTTTTCACTATGAACTTCCCACACAGGCGCGGAAACGCCAACCATGAGCCCCACACATCCAGCGCCTATGTCACCTGACCTGACCGCCCTGTCCCCCCCACACCCTGGTGAGACTGGCTCCTGGGGCCCGGCCCGCCTGGACTCACCGGGCTCCCGCCGGGCACTCGGGGTCTCTCCTGTTCCCCCCACGTGCTCATTCGGACCTGGCCGCCTTTCTGCAGTGTCCTGCTTTCCAGCCCCGGCAACACATCACCCGGGGCTCAGGCAAACGGGCCTCTGCAGAGCCACCCTCCCAACACCGGGACCCATTTTCTGTTTCTCCCTTTTCCATGGATTTTGAACACACCTTTTAAAAGCACACTTGCATTTCCTTAATCACTAATGAGGTTGAGCCCCCCCAGATCCAAGCTCTTACTAATCTTATCTCCCCCCCCAAGGTGTCCCCTGGCAGAGGTGACCCTCTTCAAGCCCCTTGGGCCGGGCAGCCCCTGGAGACAAGGGAGCTGGCTGCTTCATATCCTCCCAGCACACCCCAAATCAGCACCAAGCACAGGGCACCCAGGGGTTCCTGAGGGCCTGGGCGGCGTGAGGAGAGGTCCCAGGGATGCACCTGCCCGCAGCTCCTGACTCTCGCCCTGGACCAGCAGCCAGGTGAGGACTTTGCAGGAGACAGTCTCAGGGTAGAGGCTCCGAGGGAGCAGCAGGAGGTCCCCACACCCGGCTCCCCCCGCACCCCAAACCCTCCTGCTGACACACTGCTGTGGGCACAGGTGCCTGGGTTCTCTGGTGAAGGCCTCCGGGCTAAGACCCCCCCAACAAGCTCGCCTTTGCTGTCAGACCCCCTGCCTGCCCCCTGCCAGCCCGTGGAGACTTACTCAGGCCGTCCCTGTGGCCCAGCCTCTCCTCAGGCCCAGCGGGGGGCTTTCAGAAAACAGCAGGGACTAACCCACTGTCTCTAAACCCCGGATAACAGAGACTCCAGGGTTGACCGCCCGGGGGGGATGCCAGCCCAACGCGGGCCTGTCTGTCACTGTCCTGGGGGCTGACAACAGGAAACAGCCCAGACCCACTTCCCCTCTGACAACACCCGGCGCCAGAGACGGGAAACACCTCTGAGTTCACTCGAGGTCTTTGCAGTGGCCAGGTGGACACATGGCCAGCGTCCTGGGACAGACAGACTGGGCAGGACCCGTGGGGCTGGGACCCTTGAGAGGTGGACTCCAGCTCCTGACCCAGCGTCTCCAGGGCAGGGTGGGCACTGCAGGGCCAGCCTCCAGGAAGCTGGACACAGGAACACCACGGACACAGGGAGAGAGGAGGGGCAGCCGGCCCTGGTCACAGTGGCCCCGAGACCAGCTGCCCCCACCCCTATCCTGTATCGCCCCAGCTGTGCACACAGCGCCTGCCCTCCCAATCCCCATCCTGGGGGGCTGCTGGAGGAAAAGGGCCTGCACCAGCCACCCTTGGTTCTGCCTCTGACGCCCCAGGCGGTTCCAGCCTGACCAGTGGCCTCCGTGGGTGGGTCCCCAGACACAGCACCCTTCCCCGAGGCACCGCCCGCCAGGCTAAAACAGCCTACATCCAAATGTGCGGCCCCGTCTCCTTGGAAAACACCACAGCTGCAGGCACCCCACGGCCTCCTCACCCACCCTCTGCCCCACAGGCTGGTCCCGGGTTTTGGGGTGAGAGAGGCCAGTGCGAGCCCCTTCCCTAAGCCCGGCACTGAGGCCTGACTCGTGCCTGCGGCCTTAGCCCCCAGGGCAGGGCAGGGCCGGGCCACACTGAGTCAGTGGCCTCTGTGTCCGGACTTCAGCAGGATGGTCCATGTGGTGTGTCCAGGCTGCGGCCCCCTGCATGTCCAGGGTGGGGAGAGCCAGGGGGCACCCCCACTCTGCACTGTCCTGCAGCACCTCGAAAGCTGGGCCTG